AAATGATGAGTGGGTATCCCAGGAAATTGAGCAGATAGATAAAGCGACGACGACGGACAAGAACAACAGCAATGTGGCCGGGGGCGCCTCCAAGCGCCGCAGTCTCCATTGCCCTTTGTTCCAAACACGACCATTCAATTACGTATTCAGATGATCGCCCCTGACTGAACCATCAACGAGGCAGAAATGGACGTCATGCACCTTGCTTCACATAGGCAACCCTGACCAACCTCGCAGGTCTCGAGCAGAGCCAACGGACACCCCATGCTATCGTCGATTTGTTCTCAGAATGCTCAAGTTTGGAACCGGTTCTCGATCTCTCAATTTCGGCATTAGGCCCATGGCGCACCGAGCCAGCACGCGCTATTTCTCAACAGCCCTTCATTTCTACCAAAACCGACAGTTGGAACTCTATGCGTCCAAGGAAGCGAAGCGGTTGACACTCAGACAACTCGTGCGACGCGTTTCTCTTCTCTCCAAGCCACTGATGCTATTTGACCTAGGTGTTCTTTGGACGGTCAATGAGCGAAGAGCGTCTGATCAAGGCAAGACCTCTCAGATCTGACTCCACCACTTGATGACCGAGGATGCTTGCATAGAGTGCCAACTACGTCCGCACCGAATTGCCTGTTCGAATCGCTCACCGTTTGCGCGACCTTCAGCGTCTACCCTACATTGTGGTGACTCAAGAGGGTGTTGCGAAAGTGTATGAGGTTCGTGCTATTTCGGCTTTATCGGCCATCGTTTCACCAGGACATCGTCCTTCAGCTTTATTGGTCGGCTTTTGAGAAGTGGGTCCCTCTAGACTCCTCTATTCCTGATACTCAAATTAAGGCCAGATTTCGTCAATACCCACCCATTACAACGCTGGCCGAGAATGAGAAATTCTGCGAGTTTCTTCACACCCTTCTACACGAACAGTTGAGTATTATTCCCGAACGAATTACTTCCTCGATCCAAACCGCGTCTTTAGCTCCCCGGTTATCCCAAATCTCTCTCTAGGATTGTCCCTTTCGTCGCCTTACCTCTCGCCGGATGACCTGGATGCTTTCATGCGCCGCATGCTTGTATCGCGCATTTCTCGACGTGTTTTGGCAGAACACCATATTGCTCTTTCTGAAAACTTTGCCGGTCGGGGTCAGGAGACCAGTGGAGAACCGCACGTCGGAATCATCTTCACAGGGCTCAATATTAAACGAAGCGTTGAGCATTGTGCGAAGTTGCTAGCGGAGGGTCCGCTCTCTATGGCACATTCATCAGGTCGGTGCCCCAATGTCCTTGTCGATGGCCACACGGACACGGCTTTCGCATACATCCGCGAACATCTCGAGTACGTTGGTTTCCAACCCCTCCAGTTTCGCGTGTCTCCAACTACGACACTAGATATATCATATTCGAGCTTCTGAAGAACGTAGGGTTTATAATTAATCGAACCACCGCTCTACCTAACCCGCTCCTCAAGTCAATGCACGCTACTTCCCTGAAGCACAAGGACGCTGTTACACTCCCGCCCGTCCAGGTGACGATTGTCGCTGGTGATCACGATGTTGGGATTCGCATATCTGATCAAGGTAAAGTGTTTCGCGACACTTTCGAGCCAATCTTAAGACTGTTGGTGTTGCAGGTGGCGGCCTCCGTGATGAATATAACCGGCCAGTTCGTGCGTCTGATATATTCTCTTTCTCGCATGTAAGAAATGCTGGAAGATTGGACGATTCTCGCCTGGGAGCACTTCGTAACGCCAGCAAAAGCGACCAAGGTGTGCGTGGCACAGTGGGAGAGCAGGTTGGGCGATGGCAAAAAGCAAACGGGGATGACGGAGACGATTTATCAATAAATCCTGTCGAAGGAGCACTTCGTAACGCCAGCAAAAGCGACCAAGGTGTGCGTGGCACAGTGGGAGAGCAGGTTGGGCGATGGCAAAAAGCAAACGGGGATGACGGAGACGATTTATCAATAAATCCTGTCGAAGTCCTTCACCCGCGAATTGGCATTGGGTTGCCCATGAGCTATATCTTCGCCACGTAAGTTTGGATTTCCTCGGGTTGTTCGAGGCTCACTTTTGTGTTGCAGCTATTTTGGAGGCACCTTAGATTTGGTATCGTTGGATGGTTGGGGTATTTATATTTTTTTGTCTTTGCCTTTGTTCTGCTGAATGTGATGGGCTAGGCACGGACGTGTATCTGCGACTTCCAAAGCTTGTACGTCTTTGTTGTCTCCCATCCGCCAACTTCGTCTCACAAGTAACAGGGAACTAATCTGGAAGGAATAGAAGTCTGAATAGACTTCCGCTAGGCATAGCTGAAGGACATAGCACATTTCTTGAGTGCCGGTACGGGCTCACATACTTGAATTGGATGACACTGGCTGCATTTACACTGCACTGCCTCAAGTCCATTGCAGGTAATCAGGCCAAATGTTGTGGAGGCATACCAGTCATATGTAAGCCAACTTCTGAGCTGCATGACCTGAATGAGAATAAATTAGAAAGCTCCAGTGTTAAGGAGAAGAACTCGCTGAATTGATATGCAGGAGTGCAGGGTTCGTAAGCTGATGCCGGATCCTTCGGATGATTGCACTGCATCAATTGCCTTTTGTGGAGTTGACGCCCGCACAACACAAGCGTGATTATGCAAGATAAAGGAATGTCCCCCACTTGCGCGATGCTAGATGCCGTCGACCTCGTATATCTCTCCTCAATCAATGACCCCCAACACCATGGACTCTGAGCATTACTTTGCTCCTCCACCGGCCTACTTCGAGCAAGAATTCGACCAAAAGATATCTCACGCTACCAACTTATCCGTTCAGACGGCGCAGCTAGAGAGAAGGGCTGCCGAGGGGGGTGGATGGGAACCATACGACCCGAAGGCTTTTGAAGGAGAGGTGACGAGGACAAGCAAGACAGCGCCCGCCCAGGTTGACCAATCGAAGGCAGACACTACCACCACAAGTTGGCAGACTAATCCCTCGTCAGTTTCTGTCAACGAAGGTGTGCCGGCAGCACAAAATCACAGTGCAGACGGGCCGAACAACTCCCCCTCCGTTCAACCCCTTCGGATTGAGAAGAAGTCCGCTCCCAAGTCCAATGCGTTGGACGTCCAAGGCCCCCACGCGACGATAAACTATTCTGCAGCATCGAGTACGAGCGCGCACCGCAAAAGCTCTTTGAGCGTTTCGTCCCCATTCTCGACTCCTACTTCCTTCGCTGACCAAGTGAACGCGAGGATATCCGCCGCAATACCAAACAGTGAGGGCGTTCAACCTGAAGGAAAAACTGAGGAATATCGACATTCCCTCGTCGATCCTTACTACACCACACATGCGACTTCTCCTCGACAATCCTTGCCTCCACCGATACGGCCGCATGTTGCAGTTCCGGAACGTCCAATGTCCTACTCTCCCAGCTCAAGTTCACCATCTCCGTCCGTTCCGCGGATAGACTTCAATCCCTACGTCGCATATGGCAATAGGGCGCCAACGTCTCTACCTGTTCAAACGCCGCCCCGCAGACCGATGGCGCCTGAAATCTCGTACGATCCCAACGCCTTTTACAAGTGAGTAATCCTCTCTAGAACACGGGCGGACATCGTTGAGACTACTGATCTCCTTCTCCTTAGTTCGGCCGTTTCTGCTCAACTCACTCCGTCTAGACCTTCCCAACCATATCCCTCCCCGCTGTGAGTGACCCAAGTCTCTACGTTACGATCTCTCTTTCTGACGCACTTCACAGGTCTGGTGGCAACCTACCGCAATATCAGGTCCAGAATGCGAGCTATCTACAGGATGGAGTCCAACAACAGCCGTTCAATTCCCCGCTTCGACCTGTTCGACCACCTGTCCACGGAGTCAACAATAGCCCAAGGCAGGCCCTCTGGCAATCGTCTACTAGACCAGCCACTTCTTATGGAGGTTCTGATCTATACCTTGTTCCCGAAAGCAATCGACATCCCAACAACCGCAACAGTGTTTATTCCAATCACTCAAATCGATAACACCCATTCACGATACCTCTATACCTATGATGCGCCTATATTTCGGTCTCCACCTCTGTATCCTATGCAACTTCCCAGTTCTGAATTCGTGCGATATGTAACTACATGTATCTGTCAATTTTCTACACACAACGCGCAGTAGCTTGATTGAATTTTATACCGACCTTTCTCAGAAGTCATTCCATCTGTATTCAAGAGTCTTTGCGTTATATACCAGCGATCTCCTTACTGGTGTGCTTGCAAGATTCAGAAACGGCACACCCGGTCCGGAGATTGATTTACTTAGCAACTTGGAGTCTTGGACATTCAGTTCACATCACTCGTGTCCAGCATGTCGCAACACCCTTCGAGGCAAAGTGCACCTCAAATAAGAGCCTCCCAAAGTAATGGACAGACACCTAATAAGCCCGCGGACTGTAAGTTCTTTTGTGCGTATCTGGACAGGCTTTGAGTTGACTAGTTGCTGCTCTTTGCTAGATGTATACTTTGACAGGAACTTGAACGACTTTTCCGGCGATATTCTACCGCGGGCGAAGAGTGCACAGCTCAAGCTAGAGCACTATTACAAAGTTGCTGTAGATGCTGCAATTGAACGGAACACCAGGTGAGTTTGCCTGCTGAATGACCTAGGTTTCAGCCAAACCAATATTCCGCAGGCGTGTCGAGCTGGAGCGGCGGTTGCAATCAGAACACACAATGTCCGATGAACGAAAGAACAGACAACTGCAGCAACTAGGAAAGAAAGAATCTACGTTTCTGCGCCTCCGACGGACGAAATTAGGATTGGATGATTTCCGGACCGTGAAAGTGATAGGAAAGGGTGCATTTGGAGAGGTACCTTTCTGTGTCTCTCGCTCTGAACTATGTTCAAATAATCATCCAGGTCAGATTGGTTCAAAAAATTGATACCGGTAAGATTTATGCGATGAAACTCTTGAAGAAAGATGAGATGTTGAAGAAGGATCAGGTATGTATCTGCGTCGTCATAGTACTTTGATTTTCTACTCATCGAACTGTAGCTGGCCCATGTCAGAGCTGAGCGAGATGTTCTTGCTGAATCAGATTCTCCCTGGGTCGTCCAGCTTTTCTATTCATTCCAAGATGCAGCCCATCTCTACCTCATCATGGAGTTCCTTCCTGGCGGCGATCTTATGACGATGCTCATCAAGTACGACACCTTCTCAGAAGATGTCACTCGCTTCTATCTTGCTGAATGTGTCTTGGCCATCGAGGCCGTTCATAAACTCGGGTTCATACATCGGTCAGCACGTCATTTAGGTTCCCATTGCCCGGTTGTTGACTATCACGCAGTGATATAAAACCAGATAACATTCTCATGTATGTCTCCGTGATTCGGACTATCCTCATCTCATCTTGGATTACCAGTGATAAGGACGGCCACGTCAAGCTGAGTGACTTCGGCTTGTCTACTGGGTTCCACAAACAGCACGATTCGACATATTATCAACGTCTACTAGAAGGTAGCAACTCGCAAGCTAATGCGGCTCCGCAGAATGCTCGGAATAGTGTAATGGTTAACTCGATCAACCTGACCATGACGAACAAGGATCAAATAGCGACCTGGAAGGCCAATCGTAGAAAACTTGTAAACCCTCTCTACAATCAGGAGTATATGAAGCTGATCACGTCGCAGGCGTACTCGACTGTCGGAACTCCAGACTACATTGCACCTGAGATATTCTTGCAAAAGGGTTACGGCAAGGAATGCGATTGGTGGTCTCTTGGAGCCATCATGTTTGAGTGTCTGGTCGGATATCCGCCTTTCTGCTCGGAAAACACGCATGAAACCTACCAAAAGATCATGCAATGGCAGCGTTATCTCGCTTTCCCGGATGATGTACACCTGAGCAGAGAAGCTGAAGATCTTATTCGGAGGTTGAGCATTCTCTTCCAACAACGACTCCGAGTTGACTAACAACACGGCCCACAGACTCATCACCTCGACTGATAGAAGGCTGACTGTTGAGCAAATAAAGAAACACCACTTCTTCTACGGTGTTGACTGGGACCTTATCCGCGAAATCGACGCACCATTCGTTCCACACCTGCGGTCGATTACCGATACCTCTTATTTCCCAACAGACGAACTGGACCAAGCCCCCGATACATCACAAGCAGACCCCAGTGCCGCCAGCAAAGATTTGGCATTCCTTGGGTCAGTTGCTCTCCATGTCTCAGTACCAGGTGCCAATACTTATCTAATTCTTTCGGCAGATACACGTTCAAACGTTTCACGATTTCGTCCTGAACATATCTGAAAAATCAAGAACTTGGAGGAACAAACTATTGTACAATTTGCACACTTGCTTTCGTTATTTCTTAAGTATGTAGTAGCAACGGAGATCTTCGGGCCGATGGTCCGCGAGAAATAAACTTGATCGTAACCTGCAGTTGAATGAGTTGACTTCAACTCACTGACGATCGTGAAACGTCTCTTCAGCACGCTGACCCTGCGTAGTATGTCAACGACTAACGCATTTGGTGGCTTTTGGAACACTCTCCCGACCCCTCTCACGCCATGGATGTAAGTCGTTGTCAAGTCAAGTCAAGTCTAATCTCCGTTAGCTTATGGTCATGCTAGCCTCGATGTTATCCATTCCATGGGACACACTCAAATGACACCAGTTCAAGCATCGACGATACCTCTCTTTATGAAACACAAAGATGTCGTTGTGGAAGCGGTGACTGGCTCAGGGAAAACACTGGCATTCGTTATACCTATCGTGGAACGGCTTATTCGTCGAGAAATCAAACTCAAAAAGGATGAAATAGGAGCGCTTGTCATAAGCCCGACGAGGTATGCATTATCGTCCTGTATACCGAGATCTGTGCTTTCTAAGGATCTCAGAGAATTAGCTTCGCAAATCCACGCAATATTCTCTCTGTTCCTCACATCCCAACCTGAGGCTGAGGATCCTTCACACGCGTCCCATCCAGAGCCATTACTTCTCGTTTCCTCCGAACAGTCTTCTCCTCTTCAAGATGTTCAGAGATTCACTTCCGCGGGCGCTGATATCGTAATTGGCACACCAGGAAGAATAGAAGAGTTTCTTTTGGGGAAAGGTCGCGGCTCAGTCAGCGTGAAGGAACTGGAAGTGCTCGTGCTAGATGAAGCAGACAGGTATGATAACAGGTGCAATGAAATTGTTTGCACCTAACTTCGCTTTTAAGACTTCTAGACCTGGGATTCCAGACAACTCTCACTCGAATAATCACACATCTCCCCAAGCAACGGCGCACTGGGCTTTTCAGTGCTACGATGACGGACGCCGACGCGCTTTCAGAGCTGGTCCGTGTAGGACTTCGAAATCCAGCACGGATTGTCGTCAAGGTTCAGGCTAAGAGGACCAATACCAATCCTGCTTTCAAGAATGGTGAAGTCATCGAGGAGAGAAGAACGCCTGCTAAGTAAGTCTATTCAACGGTAATGTGGACAACACATATTCAAAGCGATGAAGCCTCCAGAATTATTATGTCAAGTGTCAGACATCTGAAAAGCTTCTCCAACTTATTCGAATACTGGAACACGAAACCAACAAGAAGCAATCCTCTCAGTTCATCGTATACTTTGCTACTTGTGCCTGCGTTGATTACTTCTACAAGGTACGGATGTTTATTCCTTCATCTCGCTGTGCCGTGTTGGTTAACCAATAAGAAAGGTTCTGCCCACGGTAGTATCGTCAGAAATTAAGTTACACTCCCTGCATGGCAATCTTTCTCCTAGCATGAGAACCAAGACACTTGAAGCGTTCTCGTCTTCGTCGTCTACTTCTGTTCTCCTTGCGACGGATGTGGCTGCACGTGGCCTAGACCTTCCTCACGTTGACGGAGTCATCCAATTCGATCCGCCAACCGATACAAAAACCTTCTCGCATCGATGTGGTCGCACAGCTCGAGCAGGGAGGAATGGTACTGCTTGGGTTTTACTTTCGGGGCGAGAGATCGAGTTCCGTGGTGGGTGCTTCTTCGTGCATGAACCAGGCATCTGTCTGATTGCCTTGCAGACTTCCTGAACGTACGCAAAATTCCTCTGAAAGAATGGCCGTACTCCCAGGCCAGCCAAAACTCACTCGATGACTGCGAGACTCAGCTAGAAGACCCAGAGGTCGAAGAATATTTCAACCGAATACGTACCAAACTCAAAAGTGATCGAGCACTTCACGATCTCGTGGGTCACCTTCCTGCTTGTCAACTGCATTAATATTGATACACCGCCGGTTGTCTAGTCTGTGAAGGCGTTTGTGTCATTTGTAAAAGCGTACTCCAAGCATGAGGCATCGTACATCTTCCGAGTCAAGGACCTTGATTTAATTGGGCTTGCGAAGAGTTACGGATTGCTACGTCTCCCAAAAATGCCTGAGTTGAAACGACTGGATCGCAATGGCTGGGAGGATGCCGATGTATCGGTAAATTCCAATGTTGCAGTCGACGATAGTGACCTGACTGTATGGCTGTAGTGGGATGCATACCAATATGCAGACCCAGCACAGGAGGCAAAGCGGATCGCCGAATTCTCACATGCAAGCGAAGAAAGGGACAAAGACCGCGAGCGACAACGTGTACAACGTCTCGCGAAAAGGCAGGAAAACGCTGCTTGGAGTTTGAAGACGGAAAAGAAGGAAGAGAGGGAGAAGCGGAGGGAGAAGAAAAGGCTGAAACAAAAGTGGATGAAATCACAAGTGGCCCAATCGGCGTCAGCTGCTGGCTTCAATGCCAGTGGTAAAAGACCAAGAGAAGTGGGCGAGGGCGAGGAGATCGAGGACGACTGGGCTGAGCTAGCTCGAGAGGAGAAGATGGCCAAACGGGTTCGGAAGGGTGTGATGTCTCAGAAGGAGTTTGATGCAGAGTTCGGTGACCTTGACGGCTAGACGCTTCTCTGCAAAATTCCTTCGAATTCAAAAGTCCATTTGCGTTGAGTATGGTATATTACATCCTCTTGTAGTAGTGATACAGTAGCAAATGTTTGTTAACGGTCTGCAAATCGGGATAGGACAGCGAAACGAGAAGAAAATTAGCGATGTATAGGTACATTATCCAGGGGTGGGCTTTCTAGTGCGTAACGAGGGTCGCATCTAAGGCGGATGAATCGGGGATCCAAAAAGCTCTGAATAACAAACTCACCATCTCGACAAACACTGGGAGTAATTGAGGAATGTGCACTAGCTCCGGGGGTTTCAGAGCTTGGTCAGGCTTCTTCTTTGCAGGAGCTTTCGCCGGTTTGGGTTTCGTTGGCGTCGGTGTAAGTGGTGGAGGACGCTGAGGTGATTTCCCTTTCGGTGGCGGTGGAGGTGGAAGATCAAGGTTGGTCGACGATGGACTAGGAGGTAAAGGTTTGGAGTTATTACCCTGCAAGCTTTTCGACGTCGAAGGTAGAGGAGGAACAGGAGGGGCAGGGGAGGAATCCTGTCGACTAAAGCGCGATAGGGCCAGGTTGCTGAGCGAGAAGTTCATGGATTTGGAGCTGCGGAGCGATTGGGAACGCTTTCGGGTAGGGGCCTGAGGGGATGTTGGTGTCGAGGGCTGCGTACGCATGGGTGAGATTGTTGGTTTATGCGTCGCGTGTCGATGGAGGGCATGATGAACCTGGCTAGGGTATGGATGATTATAAATATGATGAGCGTGATGAGGTTTCGAAGACGAGGCCGAAGCCTGAGACGTGGGCGTTGTCGCGGCTCTGGTGCTACCTCTGGTGCTTTCAGAGCCATCAGAGTCATCGTTAGTTTCGTATTCGCTGGAAGTGTATTCCTCGCTACTGGAGTCATCTTCCTCGTCTGTTTCTTCAGCTGCCACATCAATGGCATCCCCACTAACAAGCTCGCCAAAACTTATCTCCCCAACAACACTATTGACTAGTGTCTGTGTTGCTTCGTCCTCTGCGTCAGCGTCAGACTGGCCATTAGATCCCTGTGCTCTACCAAAGCGCCGGCGAAGTTTGTCTTCGTATAGCACCTTGAGTTTGTAATGATAAAGAGCCACTTTGTCGACCTCCGCGATGATATCGTCACGTTCCTTCCCAGCGTGAGGTAGGAGGAACTCGAGGCTAACTGGATTCCCAACCCCCTCGCGTACCACGGTGAGAAAAAGTTCGATCCAATGCATGAGACTGTCGAAAAGTCCTTCTCCTTTGGAATGCACCTTGTGAACGAAGTTGTAGAAGGCTTGTTCGTGCCTTTGAACCAGATCTATGAAAGCCTGCACAGTGGCATGAGGGTCCACTTGGCTTACTGTATCCGTGTATATTAGCATCGCGAAAGTCAGGCAAGATCGAGACCGAGGGCTTACGTTCTTCTACTTGCTCTACAGTTTTGATGAGGTCGTTTACAAAAGTTTGGAGGTCGCTCAACGAATCTCCTATGCTCGCCGCTCGGTACACCTGAGCGAGCGGAGCATAAAAGATGGTAATAATATCCTTCAACAAATCGGCGGTGAAACCCTGGCGACAGAAGGGATAGGTGAGCGAATTCTGCTACAATAAATCATTTGAGTACCTCGAATATCAACTCTATGAGCTGCTCTCGATCTTTCAGCCGTGAATATAGGTGCGTCAAAACCTTGAGATCTTCAAGCAACCACGCATCTTCATCTTGAGGTCCATCATCATCGTCAGAATCCGCCAGGGTTTCCTTGCGCTTCAAATAAATCGTATGTGCTTTATGTGCCCGCGCCAGTCGATGCATCTGAATCCGAGATAACAGCGGCTCTTCTGCAGACCTCAAGACGATTGTAATGAGGTTCATCTGTTCGGATGCTGCAACGGACATTCGATTGACGGCTTACACAGAAAGAAAGACGACGAACTAACCGGCGTCTGCTTTGAACATATTCTGTATATCGCGTGGTGCATAAACGAATTGGCGGATCTTTTCGCACATAATTGGGTCGTCAACCTTGTCTTTGACGGCCTCTATCTCTTCTTCCAATGCTTTCACTTCCTCTGCCAACGAACTTGTGAACATCCTAAGTCCGAAGCTTAGTAAAAAAACCACAGGCCCAGAATGAGACGCCAACATTACCTTTGGAGTAGACTTCTGCCACCGAAAGGCTGCGCTAGGAAAAGATCGAGGACACCTATTCGACAGATAAAGAAGATTCATGCGAAAGATATGAACGAGGTAACCCACTTCGTATCATGCTGACAGGATTTGTGATCTTTAGAGCCGCTTTTAACATGAAATATGGCATCAAGCCATGAAGTCTCTTCATGCCAGCAAATGTTTCTGACGCGTCATCCGAAGCCACGAACATGTGGAAAACCGTCGAAGCCAATCTAAGGAAAGCGGTAAGGCTCAAATCATGGAGCTTCCAGGATAGAGAAACTGACGAAATCCGTGCCCATTCGACAACTGCCTTGAAGTTATCGGGCAAACCTTGAATATCTGGGGTAACCTTGATAATCCCAAAAACGTGAGTCAGCCCGTCTAAAAAGAATAAGCATCCAAATGCTCAAGCTCTAAACTCATACTGAACTGAACTTATTCACCTTTACCCATCAGATCACCCTTCACACTCTTGACAGCATCGCGAAGGCCGTCAACTCGACTGGCAATCTCCCTCGCAAACCGCTTCCTTCCATCTTCGCGTACACTGTCAGCCTCTTCTCTTCGTTTCGCATCCTCCAATTCATCCGGGGTGAGTGTTATCGGCCCCGACAACAAAAAGGAACGAAGGACGGGCGAAGAGGCAATGGTGGACGATGACATAAGGGAGTGAAGGTAGGAGCGCAGCGTAAGGCGGTTCTTTTCGCGTGCAAGACGTGAAGGAGCGGTGGAAGGGAATTGGTCTATGGACAAGGTAGGACTTTCGTGCAGATCATAGTCGTTGAATGTGGACGCCGTGGTTTGTCGCGTTAGAGGCGAAGGGCTCATTGGAGGCCGAGTCCCGTTGGGAGACATTATTGGTGCGGTGACATAACTTCGATCCTTGGCAGGTGGAGGGCGAACGGCCTCTTCTGGGTGAGCTTTGCTGAGCTACTGATTGAATGAGCGAGATATACGCCATTCCATCACCGTTCAGACCCACCTCTGCGGCAAGAGTCCTGAAATCTCCATAACGTCTAGAGACATAAACATCGGGATACCGAGATCGTCGAGTGCGAATGATAAATTCCTGAAGAAATCCACGAGTAAGATTAGCTTGAGCCAAGCTGGCGAAGACTGATGCTTGCCTCATGGGCCCTGCTGCGCATTCGACCTTTATCGACGACTGTTCTAACGCCAACGACGTTGACTTCAAATAAATCCCGCGTTTTCGCTAGACGTGCTTGACGGCGTTTCGAAAGGAATTCGAGGCGATCGAGATCAGCCTGAGTGAGCCGCACAACCTCCTCCGCTTCAACGAGTTTGGTGGCAGACCCAACGAACAAAGACAGATTGCGTTCCACTTTTGCTAGCAGCTTCTTCCTCGTAGCTATCTCGGCCTCTTCTTCGTCGAATAACGATGTCGGTGAGAGATTCCGGGAGAGCATGGCCGCCGCAAACGGCTGTAGTTTCTGGGAGTAGAAATCCTTGGGAGCTGCGGCCATGAAGGGGAAGGTGAGAACAAATTGTCGAAACATATATCGTAGAAAGGGTAGGTCCAGGGGCTCAGCACCCTTTGGAGGTGGGGAGAAGGGAGGTCCGAGATACGAGAGTGTTGAAACATTTGAAGGGCCTTCGGTAGTGATTAAATCGAGTTCACGAGCGAATTGAAGCTGGATGAGGGACTTCTTGAGATAATGGGCTCGTATGGCGGTAAGTTCGAGGTCTTTCTGGTCTGAGGAACTGCCTTCATGGTTGTTCTGTGGGGGCGGCGGGTCGGGCAGTGACATGTTGGAAAGAGCCAGGAAAGCAGAGTGCACACAACGTCATTTCATTTAAGAGATCGATTCCCAAGCCAAGCTCGCGGCAGCGTGTGACACTAAAGTAATGACCAAACGCCTTCCGAGACTTTTTCGCGAGTTTCAAGACGAAAACGGCGTAAAAGCGCGCAGAATTGCTTCAAGCACCAATTTTTTGATGTTTGGGATACCCAGGGGATACCTCATCCCATGACTATCACTTTCCCACTACGCAGAAATCATACGCTTCCCCCCTGTAGTTATACCGCCATTGATATACAATGCATTCTACAATAGTTGCTGATCCTCCATGTCCCCTGCGCTGCCAGATATACCGCCTGTACGCTTCATCGAACCTCGCCACTTGGTGTTCGGCGTCATAGGTGGGTTCTGAGGCCACCTTCAACTTATCTCCGCTCATGCGTCTCGGTCAGGTTATGGCATCTATCTGCTCTGTCATAAGCTGTTTCTCTGGCCGTACTTTCTCTCGCCCTTGAGACAGGTGCCAGGCCCACCTCTTGGCCATCCTGTTTTTGGTCAGTCTGGGACCATCATTCGCAGCGAAACGGGCATTCCACAACGCGAGTGGGTGAAGAAATATGGGCCTGTCGTCCGAGTCATTGGCCCCGTAGGAATTGAGAGGATGATTTTCATGAGACCTGAGGCATTGCATCAAATGCTCGTCAAGGACTGGCTCGAATATCCTCGCGTATGCTGTTCATTCGTTTCTGGTCATGTGTATATCAACTAACTGGCCTCTTTTCCATCTAGCCTGGCTTCCTTCGAAACATCTTGGGCCTTGTAACGGGATATGGACTCCTGACTGTCACTGGCAATGACCACAAGCAAATGCGGAGAGCAATGAATCCCGCATTCTCTATCCCTAATCTAATGGCCCGTAAGACCTCTCATTCACCAAGTCAACAAGAGTTTATCTAAAGTCCGTGAAATTAAAAGAAATACCCATGTACTTTGAGCCCATTGACGGGTATTTTGCTTCCTTTCACTATCTTGCACCTCCTTGACGCCACCGCGACAGCTTGGTGGACATTCTGAAGTCGCAAATAAAGCCTGGTGAAGCAAAACAAATCTATGTTTACGAATGGTGTACGGTCCTACACGTTCCATACCTTTCTTCAGCTGTTTAACCCGTCTCATCGCGTTCTCAATAGTGAGCAAAGTGACGTTAGATATCATCTGCGAAACCGCGTTTGGCTACAAGGCCGATTCGCTGCACAACCCACACAACGAGCTCGCAGAAGCCTATGAACAGCTTCTCAGCCTCCAGTCAGGTATGCATGCACTTCACGATGTACACCTTCTTCAGACGCTCATCGTCGATCGCAGGCCCCAACCTTGCCAAGTTCATCCTGCTGGTCTCCTTACCCGGCGCCCCGCGATTCCTAGCCTCCGACTGGGCATACAATCACCGAAATTGGATCTCGAAGATACCTGTTTTCGGCAAGCCTTCTGCTATCTGTTTCTCCAGTGCATAATGTCTGAGAGTGTGTTCCAGGTACTATAAGCCAGTTGATTGATGCCATGTATAGGATTCGCAAAATATCTGTGCGAATGCTTGACGAGAAGATGAGAGATTCCGATCTGGTCCTGAATGACTCTGATGCGAAGCGAGATATTATGAGCATCCTCGTGCGTGCACGGAAGGCGGAGCTCGATGGAGGCAAGGGCGAGTACGCCATGAGCGACCGTGCCATGATGGATCAAGTGGTCGGTGCCTCCAATTGTCCGTGTCTTCTGCTGGCTAATAGTATAACTCTATAGCTCACTTTCTTGGGCGCTGGCCACGAGACCACGGCATCTGGTCTAACTTGGGTACGCGATTCACTAGCAGTTGACCCTCGGTGCTGTCGCAAATGAAAACTTGGCAGACACTCTGGCACCTCTCCAACAACCTGGACGTACAGCAGCGTCTACGTGATGAACTTTACCCGGTCTTCTCAGAGAACGCTCATCCCGATTACCGGACCCTCAAGGACCTACAGTGGCTCGACTGCGTCGTGTAAGTCCACATTTTCAACCGATCGATACCTGCTTATCGGTTCTTGGTCTTCCAGCATGGAAAGCCTAAGAGTCATGCCACCTGTCCCGCTGACGGTGCGCGTAGCAGCAAAGACGGACTACATCGACGGTGTGCTCGTGCCCAAAGGAACTCTTATCACGATCCCTGTCCGTCCACACAAGTCGGATCAAAATAAATGACGTCACTTACTCTCCGGATTTCCTTTCTCAGATACGAGTTGTCAACACCTGGAAAGAGGTCTGGGGCGAGGACGCCGAGAGGTGTGTGGTGATATTGCGAGCTTCATGTCGTCGGGATCATATCTGACAACTCTTCTCCCTCGGCGCGATGAACCCCCAGTTTCAACCCAGCACGATGGCTCAGCCTCCCGAAGGATTATCACCCGACGTTCTCGATGCTCTCCTTTATCGCTGGTCCGCACGCGTGCATCGGAAAGACCATGGCCATCATCGAGATGAAAGCCGTCCTCGCGTCAGTATTCTTTTCCCTCTCGTTCCTCTGTTATGGAACGCAAGCATATCTAAGCTGAGTACTGACGCGATTTCTGTTTGTACCTGCAGCGCCCTAATCGTCAACTTTGAGTTCGAGCCCGCTTTCGCCGGGCAGGTGCCTAAACCTGCGGCTGCGATCACCATCAGTGAGTGCCCTCAGGCTTTTAATTATCGTTGCACTGCTCGATCTTGGCCTCTAACGAAACCTCTCCTCGTGTTTTCTATCGACTCCATTCCGAATCCGCCCCACGATCGGACAAATGGTGTGCTGCGTTCGTTGTCATCGACACCTCAAGAACCGACCGATGGGATGCCTCTTCGCGTTCGAAGAGTGTCAACGCCTTCGAATCCGACGCCCATTCTCAAGTGACTGTAGTCATCGAACACATCTGCAAGACCTGTCATGAAGACAGGCAAGATCTAGCTTCCGTTACTGTACTCACCATCTCTACGTGTATTCTAGTGTTCGGTCGTCGAAATGCGGACTAGATAAGGAACATCTGTCATTCAATTGCAACACCCACGCCCGAGCCTCAGACATAAGTGGCTGATGAAAACATACGGCGCTGCGTGGCGTGACATCGACAGGAATAGCACCCTTTCTGATTCATATATCATGACAGACGTCTTCACCCAGGAAGCCGGATATCTAGAAGGGCGATAACAAAAGAGCCTCTAGTATTTTGGAACGAAGGTTTGAGTTTTTGGGTTGGGTGACACGGTCTGGGTCCTTCCACGGTGCACTGTGCATTCAACGCGACGTCAAGGCGTCAACGTGCGGCGTGCCCCAATCCCTATAGGTTGAGCGCTGATTATTTACATCAATGAAGGCGTGAGCTCGCTGAATTCTTCGTCCGATGAGAATGCTCGGAAACTCAAACTCATTGACAGGCTATGTGGGGACGGCCAATCGGTGCATCCCATTTGCCAGTGCCAGTGCCAGTGCTATCCATATTCTCTAGCTCGTAAGCACGATGATAGAACGGGGGGCCCAGTACCCCGGATGGAACGACACGATCTCCAAGTGAGTCTCGCCTTCTGGGCTCTTGCCTCTGTCTTGTGTCAGGGATGGGGGGATCACATCGGTGCAAATGGTGTACGGAAATGATTCAAATGGCCCATGGACCATGATGTTGGTGCTGGTGGACCACATATACTTTCTGAGTGGTGCTGATCATGACGAAGCTTGTTTTATGATCTCAGGAGCCGGGTCGAGGCCTCTCGCTGGCGACGAATGAATAATGCATCTCGGAATCGATGGTACCGAAGATATGGTGCTAGAGGGTACGAGCCTAGAGGAGCTCCTATTTGCCAGCTGAGATCGATCGTCGTGAGGCTTGGATATTTGCAGCACTTCGGCGCTTAGAAATTTCCTCGGATCCGAATGGCAAAGAAATTAAGGCAGTGCACGAAGGTGTAAATTTCTCGGGATTTCCAGCTGGTTGGGTATGTACGTGGTTATGCGTAAGCGCAGTACGAGAAATCGAGCAGACATACCCTACTCTTTCTTCTTCGCTTTACTACGCCCCTTCTCTCGTCCGACGCATCCACCCCTTCTCCGACCTTACAGCAACAGCAGCAGTAGCGCCGACCCAGGGTAACGAGAGACCTCGATCGTCTACCCGGTTGGTTGTACCTCGAGGAACGAACGGGCTTGAAAAGCAAATGGGAAAAACCAAAAAAGTGGGTTGATGGAGACTAAGACGAACCAGAAAAATCTGAGCATGAGCATGAGCATAAGCATGAGGAGAAGCCTTTGACGAAGAGAAAGGGATAAAGATCATGAAAAAAAAAAAGAGGATGCGGGATGATGGTGGTGGTATGCAGTGGTGTAGAGTCAATGATGATGTGATAGATGAATGGGAAAAAGTGAGATTAAAAGGAGAGAGAAAAGAGGCGCGAGTCTTGAGGCCGAAGATCGAGCGCCCGAGGCCGACGGAGAAAGACAGAGGTTGAACAACGAGGGAACGAGAATGCTACCATGCACGATCAGAGCCAACTCTAACCTTTCTACAAGCACACACACCTGCACGGCCCATCACAGAATCGTGCACCCATTCGCGAACCACCTAAACCCAGCCAATCAAACGAAAAACGATCAGCACCGCCATCGTCCAGACGAGACACGGCACCAGCGGGCCCCTTCCGCCATCCCACCAGCCCACCAAGAGCACAAAGCGGAGCCATGCGTACCAGTTTCCATTGAGCTGCTCGATCCAGTGGACGACGAGCATGAGGCGCAGGCGCGCGGAGCGGATGGGGAGGAGTTTTGCCTTTTCCTGCTCCTCGATGGGGAGGACGAGGGCGACCCAGAAGGAGAAGAGGGCGGGGTCGGAGGGCATGGCGCCGTAAGTGGTGGAGAGGCGCTGGACGACCCAAGGGGCGGCGCCGCGTTGGAGGCGGTCGAGGAAGGAGCGGCAGGTGGATATGAGCTCGGCGTTGGTGGGTTGGCGGGGACGGGTGGAGGAGGAGGAGGAGGAGGAAGCGCTCAAGGATGACGTGAGACGCCGCAGGAGTGGCTGGTCCTGTCTCGGACTGAGGTTAGGCGCCGGTGATTCCTCGTCCGCGTCATCCAAGACGAGCGTCTCACTAATGTCGTCGGGATAGTCATAGATGCTGTAACACGCCCATAAGCACAAAAAACACGCATAAATCCACTTGCCACGTACCTCTCGATCCGCCCGACCATGTACCCGTCCAAACTACCCCGCTCCAGTATGCGAAAGCGCGTCGAACCCCACGTCTCGACCATACTCCGGCCGTCCGGGAGCATCTGCACGCTGCGGATCTCCAAAATTGTGCCATAGTCCGTGTTGGGCGAGCCGGCCTTTGAGGTCATGATCATGCCGAAGCGCGGGTTGGACGTCTCGAGACACCGCCGGAGCATGAGACGGTATCTAAACGAGGCGACATGACAGGTGGGTTTAGGTTTTGGAATAGCGGTGTGGGGAAGCGAAAAGACCGACCTGGGCTCGAAGAAGTGGAGGAAGGTTGGCATGCCGGGGAAGGTTAGGTGGGAGACGAAGATGGGAGTGTTGAGTCGGGCGTGGCGCTCTTCTTCCTCGATGGCTGCTCCGCGCTCTTGGTAGAGCAGTGAATAGGCTTTAAGAACTAGGAGCCATAGTAAGCGGGTGTCGACGCATAGGAGAGACAGAGAACGCACTAATAGCCAGAATAGTGCGGTTGACGGGTTGGTCCTGAAAGAAGTAGCTCGGAAGGTCTTGTCTGCATATCGGACAGGTAGTGCTGTGGTCGAGGGAGCGTTGAAGGCATTTGGCACAGTAGGTCTAGGATGTCAGGGAAGGTGAGGATGGGACAGGGTGTCGAGTAGGAAAGGAACTGACGTGCTGGCAGGGGGTAGTAACGGGCTGATAGAAGAGGAGGTAGCATATGTGACAAGTGAGTTCGTCGAGAAGCTTCTTGTCAAATTCTGCGAGAACGGTGTCGCGCGAGGCGGGTGGTGGGGTGGGAGGGTGGGAGGGGATGAGAGGGATGTCGCGGGGGACGAGGCGGTCGCGTGCTGCGGTTGAGCGGAGGTGGGAGAGGAGGTCTGGCTCGTCGTCATCTTCGTCTGTGGAGTTGTGGGAGTGTTTATGACGCTTGCGGGGACGAGGGCCGGAGTTGCGACGGTCGAGCGTGCGAGCGGAGGTGGACGGAACGGGATCGTCGTCGTCGTCGTCATCTTCGCGTGCATCCGTGTCCGGAGTCTGCAAATCGTCGAGACGGGCGGTGGTGCGGTCTATGAGGGCGATGACTTTGTTGAGGGTGACATCTGTGCGGGGGTCGGTGTAGGTGAGGGGTGCCTGGTGCAGCGGAGGGGCAGGGTTTGACAG